TTCAGGTGGTTTAATGATTAGTTCTATAATATTGATTTATTCGCTGAGATTGAGCTACGATGTATATGCAGATAGATCCTGTTGCTGTTAATTGACATCACTTAAACAAAATTTTCCCCAGTTCTTTTCATTCATTATTTCTAAATTAAACTACAATTTTTGATTGCATTTTAATATACCATCCAGAACTATGTTCACGTAGACAACCTTTTTTTATAAAATTAAGCAGATGTCGGGGAAGTGAGCTGATGAAGGTTACTTTAATTAGGTGACGATTATGATTGTTAATTTACTGAAACGTTACCGTGTGTTTTGTTTAGATGTGTCACTGAGATTCGTTGGCAGCTGTTTAGATGACATTCTATTTGCAGTCTTGTATGTTGTATGCAAATAACCTACTTTTTCTAATTAGAGTAAGGGTCGAAAGACCTAGTAAATGATGTAATGTGATTAGTTAGACATACACATACACATAGAAACAATCGTTAATATACGATACGAAGATGAAGATACGAACAACAAACACGCACGTTTGTGCAAAAAAATCGCAAATACAGGGTTACAATTTTTAATTGTCCAATACAGATATCTTCTTATTTTAACAGATACATATTACATACATGTTTAAATGAGCGAATTTTATGCCGATCACGGATTGGTTTTTAAATTTAGAAAATTCCGAATAGATCCGAAAATATTCGAAAGCAACCGATTTTATGCTATTTCTTTTTTTTAGTCGTAGGACTTCACTTGTTTTTCAAAATTTTAGTACAAAAATGTGTAGTCTGATATAAAATAGTGAGGAATCGATGTTTGCTATCAGTATCTAAAAATATGTGCTGAGCGGTAGTAAACTTTTATTTTTGTTATGGACGCCATATTGAATTAATTTCTTTAAAGAATAAGAATATTTTTCAATTGCCAAACGAAAAGTAGGACAAGCAAAAATATGAATGTAACAGATGTCCACTAAATGTTAACGATATGCCTTGTGAAATTTACTGTTAATTTACAAGAATCTTGAAACTGATGTTGAAATTGAAATAAATATGCTGATACAGTTGCCATTTTCTTAACAAAGTGATGATTTTTTACAAGGTGTTACAAAAAAATAACTATATACTACAGATTCTTTGGACGAAAATAGTAAGACTTTCGAAATGCCATTTATTATTTACGCGCCTTAAAATTAAAGGAGGTATTACCTAGTTGTCTTTTAATATATTGTTTGTTCTGTTGGTTCAAAAATATTTTTATAAAGCTATTACGACTGATTTGGGTATATGGTATGAATATTTTTATATACGTTTTTAAGGCTGTGTATTTTATTTACTTTGGCAAGACTTTTGATTAAACATTCTATAATCTACTCGATTAAAAAACTGGATTAATTTAAAATCCAAATTTTACATTTTATTATAGGAGCCCAGAAAACAAGCTAAAAATTGGAAGTCAATATTAAAAAATTAAGTATTCAAAATGAGACGTTACCAAATATGCTGGAAAATTTATGAATATAACGTCAGCAACTAATTTTCACAATTGTCCAATTAATACCATATATTTTGCGCTAAAGACAAATAAATAACAAACGATTTTTTTGAAAAATCCCAATTGTAAAGTTCATTTGCTCTTAGACGTTATGCAAAAACGTATCGGATTAAGTAACACAAAATCATGTTTTTATAAGGTTCAAGGGACAAATAGGAAAATTAAACAACCCGAGGATCAGTATCACATATTCAAAGATCTCGTAAACCAATCTCCAAATGAAAATTGAAAAAGTGAGTAAAAAAAATACGAAACCCAGACACTTGGTCGAAAAATGAATGCATTCGAATCATAGGTGTACGCAAAAATAAATACCAAGAATAATATGTAGGTAGGTACAACTCCATTTTTCTTCGTTCGCACTTCGATTTTTTTGTTTTTCTCTTTTCAAAAGTACACAAAGCATATGCGAGCGTCTATCATCTATGCAAAATTTTAACTGAACAGGGTTATTAATAAAAGCCTTTTCTGAGAATTATTTTGGCATCATGCATCTTGAAAAGGTCGCCTATATCAAAAGTGGCATAAACAGGTTATTTTTGCTAATAGAATTTATAGTTAACAGCTTTTTATAGCACCCTGTACATATGTTTATTTACGAACCATCTTGTATGTCACAACGAACGCACCCAGAGTACTCGTATATACATAAAATCATTCAACGTAAATAAAGCGGAATTAAAAAAATTATAATATCTGTTGCACAAGTTACAATAGAATTACGAGAATTTTAATAATATTTTCTAAATATTGTATATTATTTTGTGTTATTGAAAAAAATGGTAATGATTTTAAAATTCCCTCAAGCAAATAATGAAAAGGTAATTGAAATTTATAGCAAATACTTGATCGCTGTTACGGCTTTTTTATTGTTTATCATAAATTTGTATTATAAAGATCATAATTTCGTTTCACGTGTAACATTTACTTTATCATGCTTATACAGTTTTAAAACCGTGACAAGACAGTATCGATGGTTACAATGCAAATTAATTTGGTTTGGTTTTACACTACTTTGTGCTTCATTTAGTTCCATGTTAAATTCATTGAACTTCCTTGATAGACTCATATATTTGAGAAAAGTCTTCCATTGATAAAAGTATTAGCAACAACAAATAGTCATACCCCTAAACATAACGGTTCAAAATGAAAATATTCAATAAATCTGTTACTCACGACAACAACAATGAACTACGGACGTACGATTTTCTATTTCTGATTAGTTCAGATTGCTTTTTGACAACGTTCACTTTCTCCAGGTTATGTCCTAATCATTGTCTTAGCTTGTAGTTCCGTATTTGTATCTGCTTTCTCTGTTTTCCTAATGTGATAGTCTTTACAAATCTTCAGCCTTTTCCCATACACACTCAAAGTATGCGTCTATATACAACGGAAAGGCATTTAACAGAGATTGTTTAATAACATAGTTACAAAACTGCTTACAAAAATTTTTTGTTTTAGTAATCCTTCACTTGGTCTCTAAGAATCTTTTTGGTGTAGTTTTTAATCAACTTTGCTCTGCCTCGATTGCCTGATTACTTATGATAGTTTGTCCAAACAAATGAGAGCCTCATAAGCGTTGAATTCAAACAATATGATTGCAACACATCAAATTTCAGGATGTATGCATAGCTTTAACCAAATTTACTCACTTATCAAGTATTAGTATTAGTCTCAGTTTCATTTTGTTTTCATACATGTATGTAGAGTCATTAACATGCCAAACTTTCTCAAGGAAGAAGTGAATCTTGAATTATTTTGGGCTTGATGATGAAATGTAAGATGACTGCTTTCATCCCAATGTTAGTTCCTTACTTTTTGTTTAGTAATGAATCCATACTTTGATAAAGCAATTACCGGGTTGGAAATTTACATTTAAAACGGTAATAAAAACGGTGTCCAATTGATTAAAATCTACACCAAAGAGTTTTTTTGTAGAGGGTATCCACAGTTTCTTGAACAAATGTGGGTAGCTATCCCGAAAAACTAGATACAACAGTTTCTATAAACCTTTCTATGTTGCGACTAATATTTCTTAATAGAAATGTCGTTTTGCGATCTATGTTCGTTTTTATTGAATTTGTATATAATACCCATAGGTATACTCAATATTTACTTCAAATAAAATTTGCCTTCTTACGAAGGATCTAGTAATTTTTTGTTTTCGTGATTTTTTATGTTTGATTTAGCTGACATTGACATAACCTTATCTTCATTCCCCATTTCCCCAATTCGTTCATGCATTCATTAATTAGTACAGATAGTGAGAATTGCGAGCCCCAACACTGCAGGCTATAAGTTTGTTGTGTTGCTGTCTGTATTCTATAAGTGAAGACGTTTGTAGCCTTCAAAATTTAAAAGCACATTCAAAGATTATATGGGAGGTTCGACACTGAACCTGCTGAAGCCTATTGCTATAGATATTTCATCAAATTACGGTAACCAGTTAGCAATCCCGTAATCTACTTTATTGCAGTATGTCAGAACTCAGTTTTTTCCATAGTGATTTTACCACTGTCTTGTCGGTGTTGTAGTTCCATCCAACGAGTTATAATAATGCCATCAGTGTTGGTATTCCAAAACCAGGTTCAGGTACATATTTTTTCATTATCATTCTTTCACATTCGAATTTCATTTAGGAATAACCTCACTGTGGTTAGCCAGAAAAAGTAAAAGCATTGGAGGTAGTATCAGACCAATTTTGAAGTGGTTATGTGTTTTTCTGAAGCCTTCGTTACGACTTGGTTATCGAAGTAAATATAGATCTTTTTGCCATTATGTCTCCTTATATTCTCTCTCTGACAAATCTCAGTGGCATATAATTCAGCTTGGAATACAGCTGTACCAATTTCCACAAATGTTTTGAATCTCGATTTTGCACCAAATATTCCTACTCTAGTTCCGTTATCAATTTCGGATCCATTGTACACCGCACTAGTGTTACAGACTTGCAGGTTGTTTCTGTATGACCATCCTAGTTTAGCTAAGTACCTCAATGTTTAATTTTGAAGGGATGTTTTCATTTCGAGCAGAGGATTTGTGATTATTCTTGTTATGCCTTGAGCTATTCCACACATCAATTGTCATTACATTTTAGCCTGTACGCCCCCATTCTTGTTTCCCTCCACATAAAGAAATTGAAGATGAGAGAGACGTTCCAAATAGTTACATGTAGATGCGGTTGAAATGCTTTCCATAGCACGTGTGATGCAAAGTCTAGGTTTGGATATCTCTAGTTCTATTGTTTTTTGGTTTTACCACAGCCTTGTGCAGCAAATGCATCATGCGTGGATTTAGTCTCCAGATTCCTTTGTACTGCTCATTTTTTTATATGAAATATCAGTTTACTGTCACTTTAAAATATCCTAGTATACCCTTATTGTAATTTCATGCAATGCTTTTAACTTTGTAAATAAGTAAATCGCCATTATGATTTTCTTTTTTTTTAGGTGGTGCCAAGGAACGGTACCGAATGGATCTTCAGAGAACCCACGGTGAACATCTTCTCCAATCTAGATCGGATAACTAACATCCCGCTACTAGACCGAGTACCTAAGAAGCAGAAGAGGGTCTTCGATGGCGACTTCCACATGGAGTTCTGCGACAACGTCCGGCAGTTGCTGCAGGCCTACTTCCGGGACTTCAGCTTCGAAAAGCTGGACAAGCCGTGGAGGGCCTTCACCTCTTCCTGGGCGCCGGAGGCACTGGCCAAACACCTGGGCATAAACTCCTCCTTCGTGATCAAAGACCACTGTTACGTGCTTGTGCGACTCTCGAGGTTTCGCGAAACGGTGAAGCTCGACCGCATCCCGAATAACGTGCACCTGGTGGACGACGTGGCCAAAGAGATTGACAATATTAAAAGCGGCGATGTGGCCAGTGTTCTCGACTTCATTAGCAAATACGGATCTCACTATATTCATTCCTACGTTACGGGGAATTCGTTGTATCAGGTAAATACATACATAACTGCACTACATTTGAATACTATTACATATGTTTTAACAATTAACTACCATTGGATTGCAATCTAGTAAATAATGAAATTCAATCGACAGCAGATTCACTACCACTATCCAAACTGATTAATTCTACAGGTCAACAAGGGTCGGAAAGTAGACACACTAATATGCATTCCCGAAGAATTTTGGTGCGCTGAATCCGAATCTGGCCGCAGAATTGCTGTATCACGTCAGGTTTTGAGATATCCTAACTTAAATGTGAAAAAACACTGTTTTCCTTCATATTTGAGGTTATGTAGTAATGCCATCTATTCTTTTTCAAAAAAAATACACATAATTTAAAAGTACAAGGCTCCCTCTTTCGAATGCCATTGAGTTTGCTCAAATATCTTTTTTTTTTCGTTGAGACATCACATGTTGAAATTTCTAAGTTTATCAGTCTCTTAATATGCGAAAATGTACTAAGGATCCCTTAGACGTCAAACAGTTGATTGCAGTTCAGAAACTTCATACACAGAAACCTTGAATACATACGAACTCAAACTCACAAACTCCAATTCCACAAACCTCAAACCCACAATCCCTAAACCCACAAACCCTAATCCCACAAAATCCGAACCTACAAACTCCAAGCTTACAAACCCCAAACCCACTAACTCCAAACCCACAAACCGTATTGGTTATGAAGTTTCTGAATTGCAATCGACTGCTTGATGTCTAAGGGATGCTTAGTAGAATTTCGCATATTAATTTGGCCATATCCCTGGCCGAAAAATGGTGAAATTTCTGGCATTTTTAGGTACTGAAATCTTGAAAAGTAAAACGTGTAGAACAAAAGT